GAGAACCGCCAAGGGAGTGCCAGCAACATGTCAGGTTATCAAGATGTGGATGGAACAGAGACCGACCATCAACACCACTTTGACACAACCTGGCGTTACCACACTGCGGACTGCATTCCAGAGACAGTCACATGGCAGGCTTAAAAACCGCCATCTAGTGTTTCTGAAATGTTTCGCTCATGTGAAACTTGTTTTGCTGTTATTGGCTCACAGGCTGCAAATTTTGATGTGAAGCTTAGCGAGGGTGGAGAAAGTCAACAGTGGCTTTCTTTTACCGAACCAGCCAGGCACGGAACCAAAGCTGGAACCATCTGGCATTTTCACACAACCCAACCTGGTAAATGCTGAAGTGCCCAGTGTGAGATGCGTAAGTCATACTGGAGGCCATTCTGGATGACCTCGCATCAGAATCACGTGGTTCCGCGCGGTTCACAAATTGGTTTGGGAAAAAAAAAAAAAAAAAAAAAAAGCTCGTTTTGTACGACTGTTTGATGGGAGGTCAGACTGACAGCGAGCATTAGAACTGCTCCCTGGGGTCAATCAAATGTAAGCATTTCACAGAGACAACCCAATGTGGATGCAACTCTCTCTCACGAATTGGCATCAGCCAATCATAGCTTTCCATTTTTACGTTGGTAACCACAGTCTGCATGCTTCCGAGTTTCGCCGCTCGCTCTCCAGTCACAAACACATGGCCCATCCACTGCAAAACATCGGAAAAACACTTGACGGCGGTTTTAAATATACGCATCAGTTGGATTGGAGGGATACGTGATAATTTGGCACTTGAATGATCTGCACAGTGATGCTTCAGATACATGATAAGTGGCTTTGGGGACTCGTCAATGACATCCCAGCACATTCCTGTCTGTCGTCCCTCCCCTTCCCAAACTTTTGCAATTCCACCGAGTAATATTAACAGTACTCCCTGTCGCTCTCCAGTCCCTAAAGGGAAGAAGCAGATGAAAAAAAGTAAGAAAGGAAGAGGGGCAGCTGCGACTGGCTCCCTCACCTGCATGCAGCCAAGGGAGCCGTCAGACTCCTACACGCATGCATCACCTCGTAGCTGTCCATCCCCTCACCTGCTTCCTGGCTGGGAAGTTGGCCCCGCAGTGCATGCTGAAGGTGAACACGTTGGGGCACGTGGCGAGCATGGCTGCTGTGCCATCGCCCTGAGGAGGGGAGGAAAGGGGAGGGGGGCAAGAGGCGGAGGAGAGAAGGGAGGTGAGGAAGGAACCGCAGGGGGGAATGGACAAGGGGAGATGAATGGGGACTATGGAGAAGGAGAAAGGGCAACAGAATGAGTAGCAGAGGGAAGAAGCTGGGAGGAGGGAGGGGAAGCGCAGCAAAGACTTGTAAGGGCAAGGGGAGAGGAGTTGGAGCAAGTGATTGGGGGGTGCAGGTGGAAATAGGGGGTTAAAGGGAGCGAGGAAGATGGGGGCAAGGGAAAACGTTACCTGGTGTGCTCATCACACCACACCACACCACACCACACCTGGTGCGCTCATCACATCACACCACACCACACCAGATCACACCACACCACACCACACCACACCACACCACACCACACCACATCACATCACATCACACCACACCACACCACATCACACAATACCACACCAAATCACCTCACGTCACCTCACCTCACCTCACCTCACCTCACCTCACCTCACCTCACCTCACCTCACCTCACCTCACCTCACCTCACCTCATCTCACCTCACCTCACATCACATCACATCACACCATCACCTGGTGCACATCCAGGTCCACTATCGCTACTCGCTGCACTCGCTTCACCACCCTCTCGCCCTCCCTGTCCTCTGCTCCCGCAAGCAGCTCTCTCCAGAGGTCCTGCTTCTTGCCCTCAGCAGCCGCGATTGCTGGTGCAGGTGCGGCTGGTAGTGATGCTGCTGCTGGTAAAACGGATGGTAGTGATGCTGCTGGCGGTACCGATTGTGAGGAAAATGCTTGGGCTAACGAAGGCACTGCTGGTGATGTTGACGGTGATGGTAGTGGTGGGTCTGGTGCAGTGGGGTGCACGGTGGAGCAAGTGAGGGCGGCGGCAGTGACAGCAAGGTCATTCAGAATGCAGTAGCCCGACCCATAGTCACGGAATGCATGGTGCGTGCCTGGTAGGAGACAGAGCGACGGGTTGGGTACGTTGGGCAGCGGAAGGGGGGGGAGAAGAAGAGCCAAGTAATATAGATACGGGTGGATGTACGGCAGCTGCACACCCATGCAATTGGTTGGTATGGCAGGGGGCTGTCACCATGTGATGGGTTGGCATGGCAGCTTCCCATCCCATCCCACCCACCCCTTCCGTCCAACTGCTCCTCTTTCCTCTGGATTCAAAGCACACCTCATGCTGCATGAGTTGAGCTGGTTTCAAAGAATTCTCGCAAAAACCAGCTCTGCCCCACCCCACCAGCCAGCAGCCCAGCCGCCAGGCGTGCTCGTCCCCTTCCGTCCCCTGCAAAGCCACACACACAAGGCTCTCAATCACTCAGTACAGTGCAGGCAGTACGGTCGTGTTTACAACCTCTTTCCAAGCACGCCTCACACCTCAGCCCCTACTGCATGCGAGGCAGTGTAGTGCTCCACAGCCTCTCACTACCTACTCCCGTCCTGCCAATCCCTTCCCTACCCCCTGCCGTGCTGCATGCGAGCCCGTGCTCCAGTGCCAGCTGTGCCGTCAGCAACGTGCCTGCCACCTGGGAGAGAGGGGGGAGGAGGGAGAGGAGGGAGAGGAGGGAGAGGAGGGAGAGGAGGGGAGAGGAGGGAGGGAGGAGAGGGGAGTTGACAGGTGGGGGTAGGAGGGAGGTAGGAGAGAGGGGAGGAGACGGGAGGGGAGAGGAGGGTCAAGCGCACATGAGGAGCAGAAAGAAGGCAATCGGAAAGTCAGTGTACTGAGGCATAGAGATGGTGTGTAAGGCACGTACACTTGAAGCAGGAACAGCGGCAGCACCCCAACGCTCTGCACATCACTCACCCACACCCAGACAACCATACCCCATACCCCACCCATATTCCACCCATACCCCAACATAACCCATCCATACCCCACCCGCACACACCCTTCCTCCCTACCCCTGACCCAGCCCACCACAGCCCACCTCGGCGAGTGTTCTTCTAACGAGGGTGCGCGACCAGGGGAAGCCAATGCGGCGCATGGCAGCAGGGGGCAGCGCGCCCTGGCAGAAGAGAGCCACGTACTGCGGGCAGTGCACCTGGGGGGGAAGGGGAGGGGGGTTGGTGAGGGATGGTGAGGGTGGTGAGGGGTGGTGAGGGGTGGTGAGGGGTGGACTGGACAGGGAGAGAAGAGGGGCATTCGGGAAGGTGGTGAAGCTAGAGTTGTGGGAGGAACAGGGGGTAGAAGGGTGGGAAACTGGGGGTGGGGGGGTGGTGTGACGTGGAGAGTAGAGAACAGGGGCGCAGGAGAGGGGGTGTGCTGAAGCGCATCCATATAGGGTGCATGTGGGGTGCATGTGGGGTGCATGTGGGGCGCATGTGGGGTGCATGTTGGGTGCATGTGGGGTGCATGTGGGGTGCATGTGGGTTGCATGTGGGGTGCATGTGGGTTGCATGTGGGGTGCATGTGGGGTGTATGTGTGGGAGATGCCCTTTGGTTTGGCACAGAGAGCTGCCCCCTGTGTTGTGTTGGTTTGCCAATCATAGTGTGTGGGGCTGGGGAAACTGAACGAGTAGCGGACAAAGATGCAGGGAGGGAAGAAAGGGAGGGACGGACCTACTCGAAGCAGGTCCGAGGCGAGAGGCACTGGATGGGGTGTGACCACCTGGGAGGGTGCAGGAGGGAGAGTGAGAGAGATGGTACAGGGGGGGGAAAGGGAAGAGCGAGAGATGGGTGGAGGAGGGGGGGGAAAGGAGAGAGAATATGGAGGGTAGGAGCGAATGGAGTGGATACCCTACAACTCGGTTTATCTCGTCCGCTGCCTCTACGGCTTACCCACCGCTACCGCCTCTCATCCTCCCCGCACCAATGCTCCTCCCTTCAATCAGACTCGCACCTTTCTCTTCATTCCTTTCACGCCTCCCAGCAGCCCCCCACCCACCGCACCCCACCGCCCTTCACTGCGCGGGTCACTCGCCTGCGCGGGTCGCACCATCCCTTCCCGAAGCAGCATGTCGTGAATCGCCTCGAACACGCCCATCGGGAAACGGTGCCCCGCCGCCAGTTGCGGCGCGCTGAACAGCGCGTGGTGCACCACCGGCAGCCCCGCGCAGCCCCCCGCGCGGTCCCCTGTGCACGCTCGCCTGTCCTCTCCGCTTCGCCGCGCCGGCCCCGTGGAGCGCGGCAGCGGAGGGTCTGGGGGACGCCAAGGGGACGGGGACGGTGGCGTACGGACTTGACGGGTTGGCAGGAAGGGAGTAGCGATTTGGAGCCGGCCGATTGCCCGCGTGGCCATGGGGGTGAGTCGCGGCAGCAACGAGGTGGGGCGCGTGGAACGTGGGAGTCGCCGTGCGAGCATCGCTGGGGAGATGCGTGGGAAGAGTGGGTGGGATGGGATGGGAGGAGAGGAGAGTGCGAAGCTGGGGTGGGGAGGGAGAGGTGTAATCCGGGCTTGACGGGTTGCAGTCACTGTACACGCTGACACTATTTGGGTGGCACTGTACAGTGCCTGGGTTAGGGTGTGTCACTTAAGTACCTGCTCTCTTCAACACCGAGTTCAGTTACCACTTTTAGGTACCTGCGCCGGACCAAAAATACCGCCCAGAAATCCTGCTCCCTCTCCAATTACAGAAACACCTCTAACAAAATTTCTGCACGAAGTTCTGCAACCTCGCACGTCGCCAGCGAACAATACGCCCAGCGAACAAAATACCCCCCCCGCGCCTATTGGGCTTCTTTTTGTTACCCACGTTGTTGCTGTTAGGAATTAAAGCGAGAACGTTGGAATGGAATCCCTTTTCGCCCCCTTCTACTTGGGCCCAATTTGATAGGGGGTGTACTGTAGGCAAAACGAGCCCCGCGCATGAACGTTGGAATGGAATCCCTTTTCGCCCCTTGGCAGCTGACCGCCCATGGAGGTGTGGCAACACAACAAAAAAAGCCTGTGGGCGACAAGACTAGATTAGAGCACCGAGCGACCCAGACGACTCATGTCAGCAGGCTGCAAGAACACGCGCCAATCATAAACCCCTTCCATATGCCCCCAAAACAAAAACAACTCAAGAGTTCCGACCTGTCTTGAATCCATGTGAGGACCTAGGATTACGAGTCTTACAATAACAAAAAAGGAATAGATACAAAGTCGTCGCATCATAAGCTGCTAGTGGCGCCGTTGTCAGAATACTAGAATATGAGCTAGCTAGGAATAGGAGGATGTCAACTTATATATATTAGCTATGTAGAAGTTATAGGCTAGACTGGGGTATGTTTCTAGTGAGTACAACCAACTCGTACTTGTTCTAGGTTTCTCCTTCTAGTTGATCATTCAGTTCTTACTTTAACATGGTATCACGCGTAGGTTAGCATCCCCACATACCGCTTCCGCCCGTACCCTAGCTAGGCCCGCCGCATCCCTCCTAGCCCCGTCGCGCCCCTCCTGGGTCCCGCCGCGCCTCCTAGCCCCGTCGCGCCCCTCCTGGGCCCCGTCGTGCCTCCTAGGCCCTGTCGCGCCCGCTAGGCCCCGTCGCGCCCCTCCTGGGCCCCGTCGCGCCCCTCCTGGGCCCCGTCGTGCCTCCTAGGCCCCGTCGCGCCCGCTAGGCCCCATCGCGCCCTGCCTGGCCCCGTCGCGCCCCTCCTGGGCCCCGTCGCGCCCCTCCTGGGCCCCGCCGAGCCTCCTAGCCCTGTCGCGCCCCTCCTGGGCCCCGTCGTGCATCCTAGGCCCCGTCCCGCCCGCTAGGCCCCGTCACGCCCTGCCTGGCCCCGGCGCGCCCCTCCTGGGCCCCGTCGCGCCTCCTAGCCTCGTCGCGCTTGCCTGGCCCCTCCGCGCCTGCCTGGCCCTGCCGCGCTTTCCTGGCCCCGCCGCGCCTGCCTGGCCCCGCCGCGCCTGCCTGGCCCCTCCGCGCGTGCCTGACCCTGCCGCGCCTGCCTGGCCCCGCCGCGCCTGCCTGGCCCCGCCGCGCCTGCCTGGCCCCGCCGCGCCTGCCTGGCCCCTCCGCGCCTGCCTGGCCCCGTCGCGCCTGCCTGGCCCCGCCGCGCCCCCCCTGGCCCTGCCGCGTCTGCCTGGCCTTTCCCACTGCCCGCCCGGCCCCTCTTCGTGCTTGCTCGGCCTGCCGTGCCACCTCGAGCTCCGTCTACTCTGCTCGCCAGCGCTGGGGCGCCTCGCGGCCGCCGTGCTGGAGAGTGCTGCCGCCGTGTCCCTGCGTCGCTGTGTCCCTGCGGAGCTGTGGAGCTGTGTCGCTGACCCTGCACGATGGCTGACTTCGTGCTCCGACTGGACGCCGAGGGCCATGCGGTTGACTTCGCCGCCTGGCTCTCCGATCTCCGCCGCCACCTTACAGGTCAGCGCCAGGATGGCCACTCCTTGGTTGTCCATGAAGACGGCTTGCTCCCCCGCCCCCCCGCACCTGCTGCCCTCCCTGCTGATCCCTCCTCTGATGACCGTGAGACCTTCTCTACTGCTGCGCTTTCCCGTGCGGTCTGGGACTCCCGCGATGCAGTCGCTCAGGTTGCTATTAGCCACGCCCTCCCTGTGTCTGAGCGCTCGCGCTTTGCTACTATTGATTCGGCCAAAGCTTACTTAGACGCTGTTATTGTCCGCTATTCTACACCCGCGTCTGCTTCTGTTGGTCGCCTGCTCTTCCCTATGCTTTTCCCAGACCTTGCAGCTTTCCCTACCGTCGCAGACTTTGCCGCTCACCTGCATGCCCTAGAGACCCGCTATCGCACTGCCAGCACTGCCGCCCAGCTCACTACGCTCCCCCCCCTTTCTGCATGACGCTCTATTTTATCGCCATGCGCCTGCCAGACCGCCTCGCTAGTGCTCGCGATCACTTTCTTAGCCAGCACCCGGGTGACCTCACCCTCACCGCCTTTGTCGACACCCTCACCGAGATCGAGACTCGCCAGCGCACTATCGCTGAGTCGAGTGGTGCGCCGGCGGTCTCTATCTTTCACGGCTGTGCCCCCTCCCAGTGCACGTTCATTGACGTTTCGGCTGCGGTCGCCACGGCGACCCCTCTCACCGAGACGGCTGCTGCGGTCCACTCGTAGCAGCACTCGCGCCGCGGTGGCCGTGGTCGCCAGGGAGGTAGGGGTGGTGGCGCAGGTGGTGGTGGCAGTGGTGGTGGTGACGGTAGTCCACCTGAGGGGACTACCACCGGTCAGCAGGAGTAGCAGCCCCAGCCGCAACAGGAGCAGCCCCAGCTGCAGCCGCCGTCCCAACAGCAGCCGTCGTCCCTGCAGCAGTCGCCGCAGCCGTGGGCCCGTCTCCCGCCTGGTTGGCCCGGCACCTCCGGAGGTAGTGGCCGTGGTGGCGGCCCGCGCAGCTCAGCGTCTACCGGCGGCTTCGGTGCTGTCACTTCCCAGTACCAGCTTCAGACCGGGCCTCTTCGCGGCACTCTGTGCCGCCGCCCGCACCTGACCGCCCGCTGTTTCCGCCGCCTTGACGATCTCTTTCGTCGTCGCTTTGGCCCAGCCCCGGACCTCCCCGACTGGCAGAGCCTGCTCCGCCAGGGCGTGCCGATCTTTGAGTTAGACATGGATCAGATAGGTACTGCTTTTCATGCCTTGTATTCTGATGCTTCTAGTGTTGCTGGATCTTATTACCCAGTGTACTCTAGTTTAGGTGTTGCACCGTTGTGTAGCTTAGCCTCCCCTGCTGCGTCATGCGTAGGACTGCCTAGTTTGCCTAGCCTAGTCTCTGCACCGGCCCCGTTCCCGGCCTCCGCCACAGCTTCGCTGTCCTTCACTCTCGACTCCGGTGCTTCTGCCTGCTTCTTTCGCGACCGCTCCGTGCTCACGCCGCTTGCTACGCCTGCTGTTGTCTCTCTCGCTGACCCCTCTGCGGGTCCTGTCGTCGCGCGCAGTTCTACGTCCCTTCCCTGTCCGGCAGTTCCCTCGGGCTCCCTTACAGGCCTCCACGTTCCCTCGTTCTCGAGGAACCTGGTTGGTGTCGACTGTCTCCAGGACCTCGGCGTCACCACCACGTTCCCCGGGCATGAGCGGTTTGCTGTCTGTTCTGAGGCTGTCTCAGGTTCCCCCCTTGCGACGTTCCCCCAGGACCCCGTGTCCGGTCTGTTTACCCTCGACACCGCTTCCCCCCCGGTTGGTGCGTCCTCCCAGGTCGCTGCAGCTTGCTCGTGTCGGTCCCTCACTCACCCATCCCTTCTCTGGCACCATTGCCTAGGTCACCCTGCTCTCCCACGTCTGCGTCACATGTCCCAGCACGGTCTTGTCTTAGGTCTCCCTGCATCGCTCCCTGCCCTTCCTCCCTCGACTATGCCACCGTGCACGCCTTGCGTCGAGGGCCGGCTCCGCCATGCTCCTCACTCCTCCTCGCTGCGCCCTGCTACTGCCCCCCTTCAGACCCTGCACCTGGACGTTTGGGGCCCTGCCCCCGTCCCCGGACCGCGAGGTGAGCGCTACTTCCTTGTGCTCGTCGACGACTACACGCGCTACACCACGGTGTTTCCCTTGGAGCGGAAGGCCGACGTGCCCGACGTTCTTCTCCCGTGGGTTGTGGCTGCGCGTCTTCACCGCGGTCTCCCCATGTTGTGTCTCCACTCTGACCGTGGCGGCGAGTTTGCCTCTGGTCGGCTTGGACAGTTCTGTCGTGCGGAGGGCATCACCCGGTCGTACACCTTGCCGGACTCGCCACAGCAGAATGGGGTTGCTGAGCGCTGCATCGGCTTGGTCATGGAGGTCGCCTGTACCTCCATCATTCATGCCGATGCCCCCCATTTTCTGTGGCCGTTCGCTGTTCGCTACGCTGCTCACCAGCTTAACTTGTGGCCACGCTCCCAGCGGCCGCAGGTTTCGCCGACCCTCCTTTGGACCGGGTCCCCGGGTGACGCGTTCCACATCTGGGGCTGACTTGCTCACGTTCGTGCCTCTGGCACGGACAAGCTTACTGCCCACACTGTCCCCTGTGTCTTTCTCGGTTTCCCCCTGGACTTGTCTGACTGGCTTTTCTACCACCCGTCGTCTCACCGCTTCCTCCACTCTCGTGACGTCACCTTTGACAAGTCTGTCTCCTTCTACCGCCGCTTCCCTCACCGCGGTCTCCCGGTTGCCCCGCCCCTGTTCCTTGCTCCCTCTCCCCCGGTAGCCCCTGCTCCTCTCCCGCCTCGCCCTGCCCCGTCTGGTGTCTCTCACGTCACTCCCCTCCCGTCGGTTGTCCCCGTTGAGGAGTCCGCTGACTCTGGTGGTACCCCCGGCCCGTCCTTGCCGCGTCCCCCTTCCCCGGTGTCTTCGCCTCCACTGTCGCAGTCGCCGCCTTCGCCGCAGCCGCCGCCGCCGTCGCCGCCGCTGCCGTCGCCACTGCTGCCGTCGCCGCCGCTCTTGGCCCCTGGGGGTGCTGGTGTGGATGTTTAAATAGGTGTGTGCGAACTTGCATTGTAATCCCAACTCTTTACTGAAATTGAGTGTCCCGAACACTTGGGTGACTCTTCGCGGTCAGACCACTTGCCCTTAAAGCGCTCCTGGGCCTCGGCATATACAGCGACGGAAAGTATTGCCCGGATAAAGTCCAATTTTTCTCTCAGCACATGATTTGAATGCTTTCACCCGATGTATCGTTGAATGTTCATTGCTGACTAGTAAGTTACGCGTGCCAGTTACAATAGGGTAACACGATTGCAATTTGAATGGGTCGCACTAATAGCGTGGACAAGATTTCAGTCGCGTGAGTGCATCCGGACAGTTTTGGCCAAGCAGCGGACGAGATCCG